CTAGCAGCATGGCCCGGCGTTGCCCGTGCTTGATTCAAAAATCGTACGACTCATACAGCAATCGCTATCACTTGACTTAAAATATTTTTTTGCCCTTCCTTGCCTTTAAAAGGAGTGCCCTTTGCCGTGTTGATGTTGCTACATGCCTTACTTTTGCCTATTTCACACTGCGAATTTTTTTTCTAACCTCTATACTAAACATTAAATCTGTTACGAAAAAGAACTAAACAAAATGAACACAAAACGGTCAGGTTTAAAAAGGACTCATAACTGGAAAAACCGAATGAAAAAAGAATGTTAACAACAAATACTTTTCACACTCAACACAGTTCTGCGGAATCAGAATCAACGTTGAGTTTAAGCAAGCGAATGAGCCAATTGGAATAAAGTGCCATGCAGATTTAAATTTTTCCCACTTGTGACGAATGCAGCTATCGTGCTAGTTAACATTCGTGTCAGTCAGCTGTTGGCTCTCACGCTGGCCAGTAGAATCTTCCTGCCTATTCGTGGCAGACAGCTATTGGCTCTCACTCTGGCCAGTAGAAAATGGCCGCAAAGTACATGAAAACTGCCGTAGAAGTATGAAAAATCGATTATTTCCACTCTCGATGGGAGTTTGGAAATGCAACGTCGGTCTTGGCCTTTGTGCTAACTTAGAGCATGTGCATGTCAATTTTGGTGCAAATCCGTCGAAAATTGCGGCCGTGCATTCGTTACACACACACACATCCTGCATTTTATAGATAGAGATTATATAATATCGGGGCTGTTGTATTGTTATTTTTGAATGTGTGGCACCATGCATCCAGGCAGAGAAAGAAAGGCAAAAAGGGAAAAGGAAAAAAAAGCAGAAAGGAAGGGAAAAAGTAATGCGAGACGGATCATAGGTGATAAGCGAACACACACACACGGCTTAAGAGGCAATAAAAAAAAGGGTTATTTTGGATAAGTGGCAAATGGCGAAAAGAGTGTCATTATAATGACAATGAGATTGAGTGGGTAGGGAAGTGTTATCTAAGGATATGATAACAAACTATTGGTACGAGAAGGCATCTCATTATCAAAACACAGGCCACCGGCCAAGGGAAAAATTCAAGCGAAAATGTTATTTCGATAAGTGACGACAAGAAACAGGCGACTAAAAAAGACTTTGGACAGATATGAAAATTAAAGGCCACCTGCGAGCAATCATTGACCGATTTTCCTACTTGGCCTGCGCGAATGGAATTGTGTTATCAAGAAATGTTCGCCAAAGAAAGTTCACTTGAAAACGTTAGATTTTGATAATTGACAAAACACAGGTGTAGCTACGTAGCCTTAGCTAGATATGGAAAATTAAAATCCCACACAAGCAGTCTCGCTGACTAATCTCTTTTCGACAAAAAAACTTTTGCTCTGCGATAATAAAATTTTGTTATCAGACACATGAACCGAAGGAAAATGAATGGAATAAGAAATGTTTTCATTTCTTCCTTGGAGACGTCAGACTGACTGAAAACTTAGAGAAAATTCTTTTCTGAGGCCATGTCGGAAAACCAGCCATCTGATGAATTAGCGATAAACTTCTTGACAAACGCCACGTGTTGAACAAGAGTTGTCATATTATCCGTTCATGATAACGGCGATTTGAAAGGAAGAAAAAAAAGAAAGAGGAGAGATAATTAATTTTTTTTTAGTTAAGCAAGGTATTTTTTTTCCGAAACAAAGCCGCGGGTTGTTCACGCCCGACTAAGACGTCATTGGTCAAGTGGTGATCACATGACGCACGAAGGAGGAGGAAAGATACCGACCAAGACCTCATTGGCCGAGAGTGATCACGTCGCACGAAGAAGGCTGTCGACGCCTCCATCCAGAGTATAAAGTATGAGAAGCTGCTACGAAGAAGTGGGAAGGGCAGTTCACGCCCCTCAGAAGCAAGGTGAGAAAGTGGAGGAAAAAAGTTACCAAAAATGGAAAAGAGTGGAAAATCCCTAACCAGAAATAAAAGAGGTGGATATGTATTTAGAATTATCGAGGAACTCCCCAACGCCAACAGACCCAACCCGGTTTTTGTCGGCGTCAATAAAAACCAGGCCCCAACAGGCAGAAATCAGTTCGGACCTAAGTGGCCAGTAGTTCGGACCCTGGCGGGCAGAAGACAGTTCGAGCCTTGACGGCAGAGATGAGTGCCCAGTAGTTCGGACCCTGGCGGGCAGAAGACAGTTCGAGCCCTGACGGCAGAGATGAGTGCCCAGAGAGTACGGGCCCTGGCGGCAGAGATGATAGACCAAGATAGCTGACCAAGATTCACGCAAAATTTTGGACTCCTCTTCAACCAAGAACAATTATTTTGAAGAGCGACTTTGGACCAGACCACCGAAATAAGTTTTTCGACTTTCGTCCAAAGACACACCGAAACACAAATTTCTTAGAGAGCAAACAACTTGAAGCGTTAAAACTTGCCTAGCGAAAACGACGTGTCACAATCCACAGAACGGGTCGGGAGATAGGTGCAGTCCTATGTATCGAACAACCAGACATAAAGTTTGTTACCTTTTTCTTTGATACTTTGAACTTTTTGAGTTTTCATTTTATTTTCTTTTATGCATATTTGTGTGTTATCACCCCGTTGAACTCAATTTGCATTACGGCCCCAACCCCTGATTGATCTCGTCTTGTCTAAGATCAATTCACAACGTGGGTAGGCAGACTGGAGATCAGTGCAGTTACCTTGGTAACCAGGCGTTGGAAGCGAGTTGGGAACGACGAGGCTGATATCAAATCTAACCAGATTCCCACCCGAATCACCAAAAGGTTAGAACGTCACATTTGGGTGCCGCGACCGATACCAAGCCAGTTGGTCGTCACAGGACGAGACAACACGACTGACGCGACAGGCGGACGTCACTGTTTGGAGCAGCGACACCCGGACGAAGCAGCGAGGAGCGAACAGCTGGCGCCGCGGCGAAGACATCACAATTGGTGCTGTTTAGGGACGTCACAACTGATGTCGTGACCGGGATAGGACCCTGGAACGGCCACGTCACAACTGGCGCCGTGGTAGATCAGGATAGAACGTCACAGTTGGCGCTGCGACCGGGGGACGACGTCACAATATTCTACAACTTTCGTACAAATTTATGTCTTCTGGTGGTATTAGAACTCTAAGCAAGCATTTTATGTTTCATTGCTGATGTAGAAACCCGGTTTCGAGCTCTTGGCGACTTTAGACAACAAACTATAATTACTACCTCCAGTAAGCGAGCAATCTCTAAATCACTATGCCCTCCATTTGAGGCAACCATTACATTGTGCCTTTTCATTTGCTGAGTTCGCTTGATGTCTGTCAGTCATCGTTTATCTGAAAAGAAATGATAAACAGAACAAGTTATAAAAACGATATAAGCTATTGAATAACGTGTCCTCAAAGATCTCAGCAACCCGGCATATCAGCGGTTCCCTTATGCTACTGTTCTCTTGTGAATTAATTCTGCATAGATTGATGTGATCAACTCTTCAGATAAACAGGGGGAAAAGAATCAAACGCTTGATATGCATACTATTAAAGCAAATTAGCTCTGTTTTGTTCATTATAGTTGACAGAATAAAAGAGTTCAAGACTCGCACATAGCTGAGGATTTCTGAACGTATTAATATAAGTGCAAATAGAAGGATTTATTGATTTGTTTTTTCACGGTTTACCATCGATTTATGAATTATTTATAGAAAGTTGCTTACAACATGTTTTAAACACCCTCATTTAAGGTATGTTTGTAAACGCCCCCATTTACGGCATGTTTCTAACCACCCCCATTTACGGCATGTTTTTAATCGCCCCCATTTACGGCATGTTTCTAAACACCACCATTTACGGCATGTTTCTAAACGCCCCCCATTTACGGTATGTTTCTAAACGCCCCATTCACGGTATGTTTCTAAATGCCCCATTTACGGTATGTTTCTAAACACCCCCATTTACGGTATGTTTCTAAACACCCCCATTTACGGCATGTTTCTAAACGCCCCCATTCACGGTATGTTTCTAAACGCCCCCATTTACGGCATGTTTCTAAACGCCCCCATTTACGGTATGTTTCTAAACGCCCCCATTTACGGCATGTTTCTAAACACCCCCATTTACGGTATGTTTCTAAACGCATGTTTCCTAAAACACCCCCATTTACGGTATGTTTCTAAACACCCCCATTTACGGCATGTTTCTAAACGCCCCCATTTACGGCATGTTTCTAAACGCTCCCATTCACGGTATGTTTCTAAATGCCCCCATTTACGGTATGTTTCTAAACACCCCCATTTACGGTATGTTTCTAAACGCCCCCATTTACGGCATGTTTCTAAACCCCCCATTCACGGTATGTTTCTAAACGCCCCCCCAGATTGTTTCTTAAACCCCCCATTCATTAGTATGTTTTAAACGTTCCCCATTTATAGGCATGTTTCTAAACATCCCCATTTACGGTATGTTTCAAGACTCGCATGTTTAGCTGAGGATTTTTGAACGTATTTTACGGTATGTTTCAAATAGAAGGATTTATTGTTTTGTTTTTTACGGTTTACCATCCCCCATTTACGAATTATTTATAAACGCCCCATTTACGGTATGTTTCTAAACGCCCCCATTTACGGTATGTTTGTAAACGCCCCCCCATTTACGGCATGTTTCTAAACGCCCCATTTACGGCATGTTTTTAAACGCCCCCATTTACGGCATGTTTCTAAACACCCCCATTTACGGCATGTTTCTAAACGCCCCCATTTACGATATGTTTCTAAACGCCACCATTTACGGTATGTTTCTAAACAACCCCATTTACGGCATGTTTCTAAATTCACGGTATGTTCCCATTTACGGCATGTTTCTAAACGCCCCATTTACGGCATGTTTCTAAATGCCCCCCATTTACGGTATGTTTCTAACACCCCCATTTACGGTATGTTTTTCTAAACACACCCATTTACGGCATGTTTCTAAACTCCCCTCATTCACGGTATGTTTCTAAATGCCCCATTTACGGTATGTTTCTAAACGCCCATTTTTTATTTTCAAACGGTATGTTTCTAAACGCCCCCATTTACGGTATGTTTCTAAACACCCCCACTTACGGTATGTTTCTAAACGCCCCCATTTACGGTATGTTTCTAAACGCCCCCATTTACGGTATGTTTCTAAACGCCTCCACTATCTAAATATAGATTGCACACAACATTTACACAAGTTTACCCGCTGGTTTCCTCTGTCCCTCTTGCCTTCAATTTGTTCTGTGAGTGTCAAATTTTCCAAGCCCTCTTTTCTCATTATGTGCCCTAAAAATTTCAGCTGTCTTTTCTGATTCTAAGTATAAGCAGCCGTTTTGTCTGCAGTAATTTCTGTAGCATGTTTCTAAACGCCCCTGCCATTTACAGTATGTTTTAAACGCCCCCATTTACAGCATGTTTTAAACACCCCCTCCCCCAATTTACAGTATGTTTCTAAACGCACCCGCTATTTACAGTATTTTTCTAAACGCCACACCCCCCATCTAAATACTAATTGCACGTAACATTTATTTACACAAGTTTGTTAGTAAGATTACGCGCTGGTTTTCTCTGTCCCTCTTGCCTTCAATCTTTCCTGTGAGTGTCAAATTTTCCAAGCCCCCTTTTTCTCTTAAAAATTTCAACTGTTTCTTTCTGATTCTAAATATAAGTAGCCATTTTGTTGCCATTTTTTTTTTAATTTCGTTGTTGCTCACATGTCTATGATAGTCTCAGCATTTTTCTGTCGAACAAAATTTCATAGCGTCAAGTTTCTTTTCCAGCTGTGTGGAAAGTGTCCAGCATTTAAAGACATATGAGGGGACCGATATTACATAACAGCACAGTCGTTGTTTCTTTGTTTCCAACGACAGTTTCCTGTTTCCTAATACTTTGCTTAGATTTTGAAAGACATCTTTCGCTATCACAAGGCGTTTGTGGATTCAATTTTGCATTTTCCTGCTTCTGTTAACACACCTGCCAGATATTTAAATATCTTAATCTAAACGCCCCCATCTGTAGTATGTTTCTAAACGCCCCCCAATTTACAGCATGTTTCTAAACGCCTCCTCAGTTACAACATGATTCTAAACGACTTCCATTACAATATGTTTCTAAACGCCACCCCCATTTGCTGTATGCTTCTAAATGCCCCCTAACGAAATACTGATTGCACACAACATTTATTTAGTTTTTCTTTCTTACTTTACGTCTATTACTGAGATTTCTTTCTTTCTTTTTTCTTTCTTTATTTCTTTCTTTTTCTTTCTTTCTTTCTTTCTTTCTTTCTTTCTTTCTTCTTAATCTTTTATTTATCTTTCTTTCTGTCTTTCTTTCTTTTATCGCCTTTTATTTAGTTTGTCTTTCTTTTTTCTTTCTTTTCTTCCTTAGTTTTCTTTCTTTTTTCGTATTTTATTTAGCTTTCTTTCTTTCTTTATTTTTTCTTTCTTTTCGTCCTTTACTTATCTTTCTTATTTTCTTTCTTTTACTTTCTTTTTTTTCGTCCTTTATTTAGGTTTCTTTTCTTTTTCTTTCTTCGTCATTTACTTAGTTTTTTTCTTTTTTTTCTTCCTTTATTTAGCTTTCTTTCTTTCTTTCTTTCTTTCTTTCTTTCTTTCTTTTTTTCCTTTATTTAGCATTCTTTCTTTCTTTTTTCTTTCTTTTCGTCCTTTATTTAGGTTTCTTTTCTTTTTCTTTCTTCGTCCTTTACTTAGTTTTTTTCTTTCTTTTCTTCCTTTATTTAGCTTTCTCTCTTTCTTTCTTTCTTTCTTTCTTTCTTTCTTTCATTTCTTCCTTTATTTAGCTTTCTTTCTTTCTTTCTTTCTTTTCTTCCTTTATTTAGCTTTCTTTCTTTCTTTCATTCTTTCTTTCTTTCTTTTCTTCCTTTATTTAGCTTTCTTTCTTTCTTTTTTCTTTCTTTCCGTCCTTTATTTAGGTTTCTTTTCTTTTTCTTTCTTCGTCCTTTACTTAGTTTTTTTCTTTCTTTTCTTCCTTTATTTAGCTTTCTTTCTTTTTTCTTTCTTTTCGTCCTTTATTTAGGTTTCTTTTCTTTTTCTTTCTTCGTCATTTACTTAGTTTTTTTCTTTCTTTTCTTCCTTTATTTAGCTTTCTTTCTTTCTTTTTTCTTTCTTTTCGTCCTTTATTTAGCTTTCTTTTCTTTTTCTTTCTTCGTCCTTTACTTAGTTTTTTTCTTTCTTTTCTTCCTTTATTTAGCTTTCTTTCTTTCTCTCTTTCTTTCTTTCTTTCTTTTCTTCCTTTATTTAGCTTTCTTTCTTTCTTTTTTCTTTCTTTCTTTCTTTTCTTCCTTTATTTAGCTTTCTTTCTTTCTTTTCTTTCTTTCTTTCTTTCGTTCTTTTTCCTTTATTTTCTTTATTTAGTTTTTTTTTCTTTCTTTATTTTTCTTTCTTTTATTTTTTCTTTTCTTCCTTTATTTAGCTTTCTTTTCTTTCTTTCTTTTTTCTTTTTTTCTTCCTTTATTTAGCTTTCTTTCTTTCTTTCTTTCTTTTCTTCTTTTCTTTCTTTCTTTCTTTCTTTTCTTTCTTTATTTAGCTTTCTTTCTTTTTTCTTTCTTTCTTTCTTTCTTTCTTTCTTTTTTTCTTCCTTTATTTAGCTTTCTTTCTTTCTTTCTTTTTTTTTCTTTCTTCCTTTATTTAGCTTTTCTTTCTTTCTTTCTTTCTTTTTTTCCTTTATTTTTTCTTTCTTTCTTTTCTTTTCTTTCTTTTTTTTTCTTTCTTTTCTTCCTTTATTTAGCTTTTCTTTCTTTCTTTTCCTCCTTTATTTAGCTTTTTTTTCTTTCTTTCTTTTCGTTCTTTTCTTCCTTTATTTTAGCTTTCTTTCTTTCTTTCTTTCTTTTTTTAGCTTTTTCTTTCTTTCTTTCTTTCTTTTTTTTCCTTTATTTCTTTCTTTCTTTCTTTCGTTCTTTTCTTCCTTTATTTAGCTTTCTTTCTTTCTTTCTTTCTTTTCTTCCTTTATTTAGCTTTCTTTCTTTCTTTTTTCTTTCTTTTCTTCCTTTATTTAACTTTCTTTCTTTCTTTCTTTCTTTCTTTCTTTTCTTCCTTTATTTCTTTTTTCTTTTCTTTTCTTCCTTTATTTAGCTTTCTTTTCTTTCTTTCTTTTTTCTTTTTTCTTCCTTTATTTAGCTTTCTATCTTTTCTTTCTTTCTTTCTTTCTTTCTTTCCTTTCTTTTTCTTCCTTTATTTAGCTTTCTTTCTTTCTTTTCTTCCTTTATTTAGCTTTCTTTCTTTCTTTTTCTTCCTTTATTTAGCTTTCTTTCTTTCTTTCTTTTCTTCCTTTATTTAG